TCATGTTTTTTCGATGGGTCATAACGCTTAGAAAACGAAAAAATGGGTATATCGTTCCAGTCTGCTGTCTGTTTGTCTGTCTGTCTGTCTGTTCGTCCGTTATCCGTAACGATTTTTGTTAGACAGATAATCTCCGTAACTACTGGACCGATTGTTGTCAAAGTTTATATGTGTATTATGCATATCATGTACATGCTAAAATGCCGACCGAACTGTGTCTAATCAACCTCACCAATAATATGATGACATCACCTCAAAACTGGATGTAGTAAATAGGTCTTAAATTGTATAAGATACAAAATTTTTGATCAAAATGTATTTGCTCATCCTTCCCTAAAAAATTAATGACGTGACCTCAAACTTTTGCTGGATAAATCCTATCTTAAACTTTTATTACAACATTTTTACTACAAAACCGGACGAAATCTTACAAAAGTTTTAGACTCGGTTTATAGAAAGCGAATTAAAGTTAATTCGCGATTAACTTTTAATTGAGGTTCGTTGCTAGGCAACGTGCATGTTTTAACCAATGACGATCTCATATTCCACATTTTAACCCTCTGTTAAATTAATCGAGGATTAAATATTTAATTCGCTTTCTTAAGGTTTTAATTTATAGTAAATCTTTAATGGTTTATGCCCCTCAAAAAAGATGATCTCATTTTACCATTTTGTCGAGTAAAGACATATTTGTTAAATGTCATGAGTATTTACGCTAGTGTTTCTGAAAAAAAAAAAACTGAGTGCTTAATTACAAAATTAGTCTTTTTCTCTGTGCTAAGGAGATAAAACTATTAATCAGTTTTCATTTTCTGTTCACGCAAGTGCTGCCGCTGGACGTGTTAAAAGTCGAGTCGAATGTTTTGAATTATAAATATAAAATACTGAGAACTGTGATGCATTTTCACCGTTTCTGCTTTAATACACGGTGCCACATCCAAGTTCCATAGGGAATTAACATAGCTAACTGATTTTTATTTTATAATATTTGCCCAGATCACTTTAAAGCTATTATGGAGTAATTGATTTGTAGAGGTAAAGGAGAGGTATCGGCCATTTATTGTAAAAAGACTTTAAAAATCGTATTTTGAAATTAACGGTCGATCCGGTTTGTCGCGAAACGTTCCGTATCAGTTCGACGATCGCGTTCTTGAATTAGCCATGCCAAATCGAAATGTTAAAGGGAATTTAGAAATTATTCTTCGATTTTCACTCAAAAATTACTGAAAAAATCAAATTGAATTATTATATCCAGTAGGATGATTATTGTGGGACAAATTAAGCGGAATAAATGCACAATTTGCAAAAAATGTTTCATAAGTTTATGTTGCCAACGCCGGTCGCGATTTTATTAGTAAAATCTCATTAAAGATGCTACGTTCTACGGCGATTAGATGAAACAGCGAGGGTCTGCTTGTTCTTCAATAGTTAATTTAATGATTAAGTAATACCTTTCATAACAAAGTTGAAAGATGCATCTACCTACACATTTGTTTATTTTTTGATCTCGGGAAGATATACTTGCATCCTTAAATATCGTTTTATATTTTAAGTAACAGAGAAATGACAGAAATCAGTTTATACGGCCAAAGGCTTTTTGTCAATTTTGGCTAAATTTCACACTTTTTTTTCGATTCACTAAAGATTGGAATTCTATTGATTTTACTTTCGTAATGGAATTTGTGCAACCTGGAATCATGTTCGTTGCAAGATATTTTAAAAAGAGAAACGTAGAATATGGACTCTCATTATGAATATTTTAATATATTTTTCGTTATTAGCAATGTGTTTTTCGATTCAAAAATTTTTGTTCTTATTGTTTTATTTGTTTCTTGTCTAGCAACAACAAAAAATAAAAATAACATTTCATTTCACAGAACAACATTTATGTTCAACTGTGATAAAAATTAAATAAAATCAAGTAGGCACGGTTGCTAGAGATTTCAAACAAATGTTCAGAAATTATCATGCCCAAAAAGTGAAGCCAGAGGGCTGCTTCTCGTGCATGGACGTTTGCGCAGGAATGCTTTAGAGAATCGGGAATGATGGAACCTTTTTTAAGAACATTTGTTTCACTGGCGAATGTTCATTTGGTCTTACAATGGGTTCTAATTGTCAGAAACATTGTATTTGCGCATTACAGAATCCTCACGTGGTCCATGACCATCGAGATTAATGGCATGCAACTGTCAATGTGTGACTGGGGCTTCTAGGGCATCATGTCATTGGACCGTTTTTTATCGAATCTGGATTGAATGCTCAGAAATACAACAATATGGTAGCTCAATAAATACTTCTTGGGATTTGAAGAGTACCTGCAGCAGGTCTTTTACATACAGAATAGTCTCCCGCCATACAACTCGCATGAATGTTGCTTATTTGAACCAGCAACGTTGGATTGGAAATTTCGGAGCGACCTATTGGCCTGTGCGTTCGCCACATTTAAATCCCTGTGATTTTTTTTTTTTTTTGTATATCTTCCTAACCGTTTATATTCGAACAATACCAGCTATGCAAACAGTGACGCACTGAAACAGGCCATCCAACAATATTGCCTTCAGATTTCATCTCAAATGCTGATCAGCACGCGTACAAATTTTGAAGATTGACATACTTACTCCACAGCAGCTGCTTCTGTACTCATTAACTATGTGTAGTGGAATCCAATCATTTTGTCCACCTATTACAACTTCTTCTTGATTTATTTTCGTCCAATGAGTTACAATAACTTTCTCGAATTACTTAATAACATATACACTGATAAAATTTCCCTGACTGAAACAATGCTTACTACTTTCACCACTTCACTTAATTAATAACCCTTAACATACCTAGGATGTAATGAATGTCATACTCATAACAGCCGCAGATGTATGTTTGAATTCCGAGAGAACGTTAACGAGTGAGGATTTCAAGACATTTAAGTAGATATGAACTTATTACATCCTGGGTCTGTTCAATATTTTCTTAGTTCGTATTAAGTAGAAAATTTGAAACAATTAAATAACAAAAAATGCTTAAAAAAAGATTCGGTTCATCGCGTTTGCATGACATATCATATGGAACATATTCCAATGTCACATTACATTTTTTTGGTCAGTATTTACACCAGAAAACGTCGTAAATACAGCAGAACAAGCTTTAAATAATACCGAGAAAAACAAAAGGCAGATATCAGAAATCACCTGAGACATTCAAACAACGGCAGGATGACGACTGTGAAGAAAATGTTATGTTGGAATATTTTCATGAACTGATATTAGTTGCAATGCTTCCAGCAGTTCCAGGTCATCAGCCGCAACTGAGAACGAAAATACTGCAAGAACAAAAGTGTTACATGATCCACCCGAGACGGCAACTTAAAAATTAGTGTCACCAGGAACTCATTTCTTAGGAAGCACCGTTCAATTTTACTGTGACACGCAGGAGCAGTTCCTCTTAAGATCTTCTATATGGTTGTAAGGTAAAATTGACATATCAGCCTGGTAAAATTGACATATCAGCCTGGTAAAATTTACAGTAAGAACAAGGTTACCGGCCTAGTTTTATGCATGCAAAGTAAGTTTTCACTGACAGAAACCGACAAATTAATAAAAAAATACGTAACACATGAAATTAATGATTCTCATCGCTACATGAGTCAAGTATATTTGGACAGAAGAAGGTTAAAGCCGACTTCACCTGCAAAAAGGGAGAAGCAGTTTTTTATTTTTGTGTATATTGAGCAGCGTTGTATCTACCTACTAGTTTATTTTTGTTGCTGTATAAAACACTCTGATCTTTTCTATCCCTTTGATACGAGTTTATTTGCTGAACGTAATTATGTTGACTGTATGTCCTAGTTTTCCGTGTACTATACAACAGTAACCGTCCTATCCATCCACTTCAGAAGCAAGGACGAGAAATTATTAATTTTGGTCTGTTTGCTAGTTAAACTAACAAAGACAAACTGTAACCTTAGTCGTATTTAATTCAAGATTATTACTTGTTCTGACGTGGACAAACTCAGACTGTTTCAAATATTAATTGCGTTTTGCTACTTGCAGATTGCTTCAACCGCTATCAAGATTTGATTAAACAGTGACATTTATCTGTACCAATGTTCAAAAATAGCAGCATGATTTCTACTAATTACCTCAGTGATTTCAGGTTACTTACTTTGTTAGCAACAAAGGAACGGGGAAGCAGAAAAAGCCTTGGGCTTGGAGGGAAGTAATAAATTGATTCGAAGCTGATAAAATTCAAGCACGATTCGATATAAAAGACTTGGTTTATCTGGTTTATGAGGTGAAATTACGGTGAGTTTTATGTGGTAAGAAGTGAGATATAAAAAATTGAAACTAACATAAACTGTGTTTATTACGCCACGATAACCTGAAAACGATCAGACTTTTAGTGTCCACTATTTGGATAAATCCACCAACAAAATAAACATGAGATAGTAACTACATTCAATTATGGTTAGACTTTGAAATTATTTCTACGTTGCACTGTGCTCTGGAACACTAGCGTTTCAGTTAAACTTATTCAGAGCTGAATTTTCTTTTCATAACAGTTGTGGGTTTGCATGCATTTTTTAGGCTAGTAATGGATATTGTAAAGCTGCTGACATCGTATTTGTGTTTTTGTAGAATGAAAATATGCTGCAGATAATTAGTAGACTGTACGAACGTACGAACGTACGTTTCGTATTAATTATGGAATGGCTGCGCATTACCTCTATTGGGAGGAGTAATTTTAACGTGGCACTCTACCTGCCCATTTACTCGGCACAATTCATTAATTTATTAATTAATTGAAATTTCGTGTTGTTAGAAAGTATGCTTGAAGCTTTTACTCGTGGTAATTAATTAATGTTGTTTATTATAGAAATGTTGGAAAAAAATTCAGAAAATTATCTATAAGGTTTGCCGCGAGAATTAAATGAAAACACACAAGTCATATGAATCGTAAATTTATTTAAAATAAATCAATGACATTTTATATTGGTTTAAGAAAATTAAACATTGAATCCATTGACTATATTTACAGTTCACTATTACATACCATTAATAAATTTGAATTTTCCCAACAGCTATTACCGTTTAATAAATCTCTCACTAAAATTTTGGTCATCAATTATATAAAACGTTTATTTTTACATTTTAGTTTTATCACACCAAAAATCACATGATTTAACAAAAACATACAATAAACTAAGCAATTCATTTCAAACAAAAGTACGAACTATACATATTTACATATTAACAGCTCACAAATATTTTTTACCTTTATGGAAAGACTTTAAATTATAAGGTCGAGATGTTCTTAAGGTACAAATTCTGCGTTTATTAAAACTTTCTCAATTAATACAATTATGGAACTGTCATCATGAACTTACATTAAGTGCCGCGAAGTTGTTCAGTTCTTGTCGATTTATCGGTTCCTTATTAATTCTCCACGATTGAACAATGGCCGCTTCAGGAAACAAAACTGCCATGTTTACTTTTTCAGTAACAAATAACAGTCACGTAAGTTAAAACAGTTGTTTGTTTCCCATAACGTTGAGTATTCTAAGAAAATAATAAAAGAATAACAGTCGTTGATGTCTGAAAAAGTTTTGCTTTAATCATTTAGAAGTTTGGTACAATAATATTTGACCTATGGTAAGCTCAGCCCTTAGAAATTATTGTAGAATTAATTTCGATAACATTTGCGGACGCATTTGACAATAACAGTGTAAATACGAAATTAAGAAGAACATACAGACACTCAAGAATCATAGCAGAAGTTTGAAATTATTTCAAACTCAAATGCCCACCAGCAGTCTAAATTCACAGCAAAAAATTCGACGTTTGATTTTGTCTGATCCCGGAAATTTTTAATGAAAAAAGAATCGAGCAAATAAATTCTGGGTTCCGACATTGTCTTTGGCGATATCAGAGAAAATTATTCCTTTGAAACAGGCGACAGGAAACAAATTAAAAGCATTTAGATTAGTTCACAATTGGTAACGTGCCGGTGGCAAGGAGCCAATCGAAATTACGAACTCGAAAATTATAAAAGTTGGGTCACCGGATATCAAAGGGTCTCATTTTAATTAGCACACCTTTAAGGCAAAAGAAAAAATCTGACTAGTCGGACAGAAACTGAAAATATTCATAAATATTTCTATAGTTTTTACTTAAACTCTGCGAAACATTTGTTGAAAATAAATAAATGATTCCAATATGTCGAAGGGTTTATCGCAATAAACGGCAAACGGAAACTGTTCAGTTTCCAATTCGGTCCATTCAAAAATAAAAGTCTATCATATTCGCATCGGAATTCATAACATCAATCACAAATGTCTTATGAAAAAGCCATATCAGGCAAAAACAACTGCATCTTCCAATTCTGCAGCTATTATTCTTGAAGGATGACCGTTTTCTGTTTCTTTAAAAACTCGAGGAGATGGAATTATGTTTACTTTACTATATCTCGGCCTTCCCCTGCATAATTAAACCCAAGATCAATTTATCATAACTCGATGTTAGCAAACATTCATGTTTGATGATCGACGAATCGCTGCGCCTAGATTTCTCTCTCCTAATGATCTTTATAAATTGCGCCTTCAAGAAAATGATTTGATTTATAAATTGCCTGAGCCTGTGAAAACAGTGAAGTCAGAATATATGCGCATTTTTTCGCCTGATGGAAGACAATAAGTTAATTGAATGGCAACTCAACTCGAATGGATCCGTTTTTATTATTGCGACGAGACGTGTTCTCTTTCAGTTGGATTGTTAATTCGTAGCAAAATGTCTAAACTGACTAAGCTAACGGTGTGTTTGCATTATTTTGTAATAAAAGGGTGTATCTGCGATTGCCCAGTTCTGCAAACATTTGAAGCCATTATTCAATACGTTGGAGAAGCTGAGAAACTGCCAAGGTTGGTTAGATTGTTCACAGAGATCTTCATGTGAACCCCTGCAATGCTGACGTAATTCAATTATTATTGGAGCTTAAAAGGGTTAGGCTAAGACGTTGACAGAACCAACAACTTGACGGGAAACACAATTACATCTTACTTATGGCAGTTAATGAAAATGTCATAGCTTATTTTCATTTATCGATGACAGTTTATGTACAAAATTGAAACGACCTTATCTATATCAAAATTTTGTATGTACAAGAGAGAAAATCGTTGCTTTTCTTTATGATATGTACAAAACTCTGACGTAACAAATTATACAAAATGTCAGAGCGTTTTATATGTGGAATTTTAGAATTAGTGACTGTATAGCATGAACCTCAGACTGAAACCAGAAAAATTTATAGTGTGGTACGAAAGTAAACAACGATCATTTTATCGTTTGATCCTCTCAGTTAAAGTTATACGTCATAAATGAGCACTGGTTTTAAGTTAATCGAATGGTCGTATCTAACTAATTTACAGACATAGGACAAGTGCATTTACTAGTCGGCAGAACTGACCATCGCGGATATAAAAATTTCATACATAACAATTTTCAGTAAACGCGGATTCGAACCCGTCTGTCTTCACATGCAATTTACAAAGTGCCTAATTGTAAATAACGACAATGGGGCCACTACATCATGTGATCAGTTTTGACGTTTTAATCATTAACGAAATGATCACGTCGTGAGATTCATGCGATTATAGTCAGAGGTACGAATGTAATTACTAATATTAATGCAGTTCATCAATATCACTGACACGCAGCATGTCCATCACTATGGCCGGCAGCGTTATACGGAGAGATATTTTAAACTGATTATTCACATATCAGTCTGTTATTTGTGGAAGTATCACCTAAAATTGCCGCTACGTGGGGTGGCGCAATACTAGGCAGGCCACCAAACTGAGGAGGATGGTCGCATGGGATAATCTTTGCAGAGCACCGCGCCCGTGATGCATCGCTGCTGGGTGTTCTCCTGGAACAAAAATACCTAGTAGTCAGTGCTACCTCCATTTGCTCAGAACATTTTTATGATGGTATTCAGATAAAAATTAGGTATAACTTAATCATTAGCTACAAAATTCGTTTTCCATTTTATTAAATCTAAATGGGAAAATTGTTTTCTAAAATAATGAATACATTCAGTAATACGTGGTGACCGATCAAGAACCAAAAATATAGAAGAAACAAAAGGAAATTTAGATTAACATCATTGTTTTTCCACAGTCTAACACCAAAAAGCAGTTTAAAAGAAATTACTCTAAATGAAAGTTATCGATTTGCATGTTTCTTTTTAACTTCCCGAGCGTAAGAAAGTATTGCAATCGAGTCCATCGGGAGACTAGTTAATTTGATATTTTGTCGATGTACCTAGACCCCCTACGAAAAAATAGGTCTGAAGTTTCCATCTGTCTGTCTGTCTGTCCGTCCGCCGTCTGGGTAGATTTTTGATAGACAAATAATCTTTGAAACTAACGAACCGAATATTGTAAAATTTTATACGTGTATTACGAATATCATGTAGATGGTAAAACCCTAACCAAAGTTTGTCTCATCATCCTCACCAATAATGTGATGACATCAGCCTAAAAAACTGTACACAATAAATGGGTTTTAAATTGTATAGAATAATATACTCATAAACATCCACATTTTTGGGGAAAAAAATCAAATTGTTTAACAACATTTTCCAATTTAATTTTGAATTCGCAAAACCGAATCCTTGGAAATCTTTCAGGCGTTTTAAAGTTGTCATAGACATGGTAAATTTTTAACCAAAATATCTTTACTTATCCTCTCAAAATATGAGTCTATATACTTGCGACGGTACATTAGATTTTTATTTTTTAAAATTGCTTCTACAGGGTAACTCAAATCAGAAACTGCAAAACCGAATGTTTTGAAATATTGCAGACCTTAATATATCGTATGTGTGTATGTATGGTAAATTTGTATCAGAAATGTATCTGTTTATGCCCTCCAAAAAATGAATGAAGTCACCTCAAAGTTTTTGCTGCATACATCCTATTGAAAATGTGAAAAATTGTGATTTAACTTACATTCATATTTTCTAGAAATGCTTATAGAGTGTGACTCAAAAAACTATTGAACATGTGAATTTATTTTATTGATTAAATCAGGAACGGCTCACTCATCATCTCGAAAATTTGAGAATACAATACCGTTATTATTAGCATTACACTACACCTATAGAAATTGATACAAGTTCCTTGGAAAAATGTTGATGAGGTCATCACAAAATTTTGTAAAGAAAAAACTCCTTTGAAACATACGCGTAGCATGCTTCTTTAAATTTTCTTTAATATTATACGTACATATCTTTTTTTAATTTATAGAAATTCTCATAAAAAAGCAGAAAATCAAATTTTGTAATTGTCCGAAAAAGCTGAATATGTTTTATTGTACTTCAGGTGTGAGGGAAGTTCTGTCGAAATAACCTTCGACCAATTTATTTTCCATTGACACTACACCCTAAAAATATACTAAAATTCACCATGCATCATTTAATAAAAATATTGCATGGTTAAATTAACTTCTATAAATCATACATGAACTGAATCTTCCACGTAAATGTATGTTCTGTAAGAGGTTACTTATTGTTGAATGAATGTTGTAAATATACCCAGCACGACAATTACAGTCATGGCCGTTGGGGCAAAAGAGGAAAACAGAGAAACCGAAAGCAATGAATACCAATGTCGAAGATTATGAAAGGAAAACCGGAATACCAATGAAAAATTAGTTGAAATCAATACCACCATCAACGGGATATCAGAGAATATCAATAAAAATTGCGGAAATTAAGATCAAAATAACATAAATGAGAAAATTGGTGCAGAATTTTAGTTCACACAGTTTGTCTCTCGAATGATGTCTTGACAAATTAACTAAACGTATTCATTAATGAAAAGTCATAAAGAAAAATATTTAATTAGAGTGTCTAACGATCTTAATACGACTATTTAAAAGTAGTACATTAGGGAAATTTATGTCTTCTCTCGTATAGGGTGTTTACCATCAAAGCAAAAAAATAACTACTCGCCATTATGGGCGTCGTATCAGGCTGGAACTTTAATGTGTTAGTGCATACACGGTCATATTTTTGAAGTCGTTAATCTGTAAAGATTTCCGAGTTAACACACTTGAAAGTTAAGATTACATATCAGGTATTATAAAGAAATTATTTAATATTTATTTTAATTAATGCGCTTAACTTTTTTGTGAAAATAAATGCGTGCATTCAAATTTTAAATTAATTCAGGAACGGCTCACTCCATTTTCTCTGAAAATTTTGGGAATACAATACTGTTATTTTTAGTATTACACTGCACCAATCCAAGTTGATATACGTGTTCTTGTTTTTTCTTGCATTGGTATTACGCTGTAACTATTTTTCTTTTGTGCTGTGACTAGTATTATCCATGTTGATGACGTCGTTAAAAATTTTTTATTGGTCAAATTAAGAACGAGTCACCCGCACGTCTTTATATAGTAATGAAAAAATAAGAATTGTAGCTAATAATCAGAACATTTTGTTCGGTTGTGGTTTAATTAATAATTGTAGTCCTGTGTTTTGAGAAAACAAAGTCATTCAAATCAAACTAATTTCTACGAGACGTTCTTCCGATGGATAAACATAAATAAACACTTGAGCGTCAGATTGCTATTACCTAGTGCTGAAGGACAAGGGTTGTTAGAGATGGATTATTTCAAGTTCAACATGGTGAGTCATCAGAATCTGCCAACGGACTGCAGTCAGTAGCGTAACATGCACACTTCAGAAGGGAGTGGATTAATTTTTTTTTTTTTATCGCAAACAATAACACGCGGAAACATAAATTTAAGTGAACTGGTCAACACGCTAGCATGTATGCGGATGAATCTATTAGGCACTAATCTAAATAAGTACAGGTACCCATCGCAGGTAAAAAAGTTCAGTATGACAGAGAAACGATGACGGGCGCCATTCAGGGTGGGCCCATTCGAAAATGCTGGACATGTTTCACTGTACTTCAGAAGAGAGGGAAGTTATGCCGACCAATTTTTTTTTATAGTAACCCCTATAAGTTAAAATCAAGATATGTGTGGACTGTTAAAATACAGATATAAAAGCATGTGCGTACGTTTCAATTAACTTTTTTCATAACAAAATTTTGTGATGATATTTTAAAGAGATGTGGCAGTGTAATTAGTAATAACAGTACTGTATTCCCAAATTTTCGGGAAAATCTGGTGAACAATTCCAGATTTGATCAATAAAAAATTCTGGAAATGCCCCGGGGATCGAACCAGCGCAAAGCGCACGCTTTCCGACAGTGCCGCAATCCATTTGACATTGTTACGTATCTAAAGAATAGCTTTATTATTAGGAGGGATAAAACAATAAATATTTTAATAATAAACTGCAAGTGCAGGAGATGTTCTTCAATAAAATTTAAATAGCATGAATTTACTATGCCAAGTTGTCGGTAGTGATGATCAAACAAATTTTATTGTGTTTTGTCATTTACACGATCTTCCTAACATACAGATAAAATTTCAGAAGAATCAGTACAATAATTTCGGGGATTATTTATGGAATAATATTGACAGAGAAGACCGACAGACGGAAACTGGAGACCTATTTTTTCATACTCTAGGGATCATGAAACGTCGATAAAATATGAAAGTAGCCATTCGCTGAATAGAACCTATTACAATTCGTCTATGGCTTATGCTCGACTAGTAAAAATGAAAATTTGTCTCAGAAAACCCTAATATGAATCCATGCAGGCATGCATGCATCCAGCGAATAAGTACCTAATAAATAAAAATGAAAATTTCGTTTACTGGCTATGTGCATTTTCCCACACGATTTTACGCAAGAATTTCGTAAAATTTGCAGCTTATTCGTTTATCGCAGCATTAAAAACATGGCAGTCTGTTATTTTTCAGACAAGTTCCACATACATTTTTCATTCAGTATTAATGTATAACATATCTCTCTCTGTGTGTATCATCCTGGATAATGGCTTTTGCACGGAAATGGGCGAGCAAGTGAACCAAAAATCATGTTTCCAGAATTTACATGCAGAGTTAGGGAAATGTTTCTCTTCCGCATATGGTTTAAAGACCACAATTTACTTAACACCGTTGTGGTACTATAAACCCTTGTGCGGTAAATACTGTGAATTTATAGTTCCTTAAAAAGCAATTATCCTAGTAAGACTACAAGGGTTCCAAACTATTAAATCACAAGATGGCCAGCCAAGGAATTATTATCTCTTTAAGATCCTCTCTAATTACTTGAAATGCACATCTTATAGTTTGAGGTTTAACACTTGACTTTTTTTATAAATATTTGACCGTGAAACGAAGCGTTTCAAGATATTTTTCTTTTTTAGAAAATGCCTTCATCAGTATGAACCTATAACAAATAAATAATGGGAATTTAATTAATAATTTCACTGGAAAATTTGTTTTATGGCTATCGTCATCCCGCTTCCGTTATTTCTACTTTTATTGTTATCTTTTTATGAGCTACTGAAATTGTTGGACCGAATTAAAGCCATACAGATGGCGACAGTTAATAAAATATCTTTTTATTAAATGTAACTCATGACTGAAGCTGTAAATGCAATTTACTATTTAACGTACATTTTGTCAAAACTAGCACACATTTCAACGCAAAATTCTATTTGTAACACTAATTTCATCAACAAAGCCGACACAGCTGTGATTTCCAGAGGCAAAAATCCAGAAGCATGCTAAAAAATGTACATCTGTCACAGTTAATTAGAGCTTGGAAAGACATACGACACTAGCACTGCACATTTATAAAATAATTTCCGACCAGACCGTTGGCGTAGCTTTAAAATGACTAAAACTCATTCCAAACTAGCACAGTGGCTCTGACTTTTGTACAGTTTGTCCTTTATTTTGAATAAAAATTTCATATGTTGCGCTTCGCAACTTTATCGAATCAGTTTA